AATTTATTTTTTCTTAATCAACACAAAACAAACAAAAAACAGCGTGATTGCCTTTTAAATTATTCGTCCACGTCGTTTGACTTTCAATTGGGAAATGATTAGTAGCATCATTTGACTTTCAATGACTGCTAATCGATTGTTGACGAATGATAATCATGAGGAATTAATAAAGATAGCAAATTAAAGCTGTTATTTTTTTTTATCAAATACGAATGGTTTTCCATTATCAGTCATGAAATGTTTGTTGATGAGAATTTATTTTTGTTTTCAGTCTGAATATGATAAAGACAGTGAAGAAGTAAGTATTGAGAATAAATATATTTTTGTTTTTTCAAGTCAATTTTGATTTTCCATTAAGGTCGATTGAGGTGAGCCACGGTGGCTCAGTGAGTTAGCTCCTTGCTCGCTAATACGGAAGTCCAGGGTTCAATCCCAGCTTAGGTTGGGCTTATACCTTTGGATTTTTCAACCCAGTTTCCCCCTGTCAGTGATGCAGGTAAGAGGGGTTACATATCTTTGTCAAGTCTTGGTATTACTGAATAGAAAGAATTCTATTTTACAAACAACTTAGGTTCACAGTTAAGGATTCTTTCTATCAGCTGATCTTGCCCAGATTATCAATCCCTATTTTCAGCTGGTTCGACTGGCATTATGAGTGAAAATGACTTTCAATTCGGAATACAATTTTAGGATTCAAACTGATTATTGTTAACTTGGTTTAGATATATAACTATTTGTATTTGTATTACAGAATGAAGATATTGTACAACTACTACAAGCAGCAGAGACAGGGAATCTGAAAGACGTTATTAAATATATCAATAAATTAGAAGATGCAAACAGAAGTAATAAGGTGAATTCCAAATCTTTTTGTGTTTTTGAAAATTTACTTTCTGTAGCCTAAAATAAGAAGTAAGAATTCATATGGGCAGTAGACTGATGGGCAGTAGACTGATGGGCTGTAGACTGATGGGCTGTAGACTGATAGGCAGTAGACTGATGGGCAGTAGACTGATGGGCTGTAGACTGATGGGCAGTAGACTGATGGGCTGTAGACTGATGGGCAGTAGACTGATGGGCAGTAGACTGATGGGCAGTAGACTGATAGGCAGTAGACTGATGGGCTGTAGACTGATGGGCAGTAAACTGATGGGCAGTAGACTGATGGGCTGTAGACTGATGAGCAGTAGACTGATAGGCAGTAGACTGATGGGCTGTAGACTGATGGGCAGTAGACTGATGGGCTGTAGACTGATGGGCAGTAGACTGATGGGCAGTAGACTGATGCCTTGTATGTATCACATAGTTCAGGCGTAAG